TAAAAACTAAGTATTAGGAATTACGGATGAAAGTCGATAGAGATATTGATCGGATAAAATATTCCCACGTTTTTGTTTCACACAAGATGGCGTCGCGTTGTTCGCGCAAAATCGTACTCTGCTAAATATAAAGATTTTATAAAAAAATAAATTATACCCAAAAACTTACTAATAATAATTTACTGGTGGGCTCATAGTGTCTCTTACTGCAAGAATTTACATAAAAAATCTACATTGATTGAGTCTTAAGTGACGATTAATCCACTCTGAGTCAAGTGGGAATGAAATTAAAAAAAATATATGTATATGTTTAAATCGCTCCCTTCAATTTAGCTCTCTCTACTCTCGTAGTTTTCCTGGACATAGACTTTTAGCAGACATCACCGGAGTGAATGTTTTCTATGCCTAAATACTTTCTTGGTCCGAACCTTTTTGTTCCAACTAGGTCGTCCTTTAATGTAAGCGTCTAGAAAAGAGGATGTGGTCTATAGAGGTAGTTAGTACTTACTATGATAAAAAATTACGTAAAATCATTTTACATTTTGGGAGACATTTTGTAACAAATATCCATCCATCCATTCGAACATTTGCATTTGATGTAAGATAGTTTTATATATACCTTACTATATAAAATGCGATAGTTTAAATGGATGGATAGAGGTTTGTTAGAAGATATCTCCAGAACGGCTGAATAGATCTTGTTGAAATTTGGCATAGATGTAGAGCATAGTCTGGAAGAACACATAGGATAGTTAAGTTTTTTTTTAATTCCGCTCGGAAGAAGTAGAGGGCGACAGCTAGTGGAATATAAAATATTCAGAGTATTTTAGCTTGTCGTATGTCAATCCCCTTTTTAATTCGAACACCGTTTGAATGAGAAACCATAGTAAACTTTCATATCCTGACCAAGTCTTAAAGCGGAATTGAGGTTTTTCGTTTAATCAAGTTTTTTTAAAAGAAATATGAGATGTCACTGATACGGCGACAAGTAAGAGTACATTGAGAAAAAAATAAAAAATACTTTTTTTTTATTTTGAAATTTTAATTGTTTTTAGATTGCCGGTGTGTATTTTTTGCACAGTTGAGGACGTTAAATTCCTACCCGTTTCGATGTACTATCACTTGATGTCATAGCATAAATACGTACACCTTATTCGGACCTATATAAGTGGCTAACGAATTTAATGCTAGAAAATCCATAAAAAAATAAAATATAGTAAAAAAAATTGATACTAAAATTATATACACGTATCTATAAACAAACATCCTTGGATAATACAAGAATTATAAAGATTTTTTTTAATTTTTAAGCAAACAAAAAGGTCATTGCTCCAGGATAGCAAGAGCACAGGTGTGCGGTCGATAACATCGATTTAAAAAAAAAATCGATGGGGTGACGTCACAAAATGGCGGACGTGCAGCTGTCATTTTAAAAAGCGTGCCATGCTAATAAAATAGGGTGCATACAAGGGGTCGGCAGAATGTATATTTTAAACACGCAAATATACATTTTTTAGATCCAAAGATAGAGTTTCGGGGGGAAAGTAAAAGGTGTTCGACACAATTGTATTTCATTGTCGAACTTTTTTTTTAAAATCAAACAAAGGGTTTGACTTTAAAGTTACATCAATTATATGGATTCAAGGAAGGTTAAAATATATTAGAAATTATGTAATTATTATAAATAATAATATTATTAACGTATACAAGAAATATGGTTGCAAACGGTAAGAACATATTTCGTTGGTTTTTTTTTGCATCTTAATTAGCTGTCGCCCGCGACTTTCCGCATAATTAATAAAAAACTATAGATGAAATAAATATAAGCTGATCCGATCAACGGTTCTGGAGTCACGTAATAACATCCATACATTCAAACTTTTACATTTATAATATTTGAATATATTACTAATATTATTAATCCGAACGTTTAGTTGCATGGATATTTGTTAGGAGGTATCTCCAGAAGGGCTGCATGGATCTCGCTGAAATTTGGTATAGATGTAGAACGTGGTCTGGAAGAACACAAAGGCTACTAATTAAGTTTATTTTAATGTCGAGTCGGGGCGACAACTAGTTAATAATAAGACTTAAAACACATTAAATATAGAACAGTGTTAACATCTGGGCTCAAACTAAAGTAATATTAATTTGCAAGTACGATAGAACAAAACAATTCAAATCCAACCAACCATAAATAACAACCGTGTTGTGTCGTTATCAGGATGTGGTGAATGGCAGGAGCACGAGCCACGCTAAGTGACCAAAGACCACATGTCACCATTCACCGTAACGACATCCTTTACCACATCCAGCTTTATTGTCCGATGTTAGCTGGTAAATCCGACAAAAAAAAATATTTCCGAAGGTTATATTTATAGCCTATTCCCTTCCCTATATTTATTCTGTACTTTTAAGCTCCATTCCAAAATCAACAGCTGTGAATCTAAACGTGGGTTTCTGAGATTAAATTCTCTGTAAAACATATATCGTCATACCTGTACATAAATAATCTTTAACGTTTTAAGCGCAGATTTTCGTCACAGAAAACCCCGGTGATACAATGTATACAAAATATCTCGATTTGTAAGTTCTAAAACATCAAAACTCTACATAGTTTCTATCTGTATAACTATCGGTCGACCGCGATTTCGCTAGTGCAGAATAATTAAAAAAAAAAACAGTATTTTGGGTTGCTTACAGCTAAACTACTTTTCACTAAAGGATCCATCAAAATCGGGTTACTAGTTTTGGAGATTAGCCGGAACAATCGCGGATATGTGGACAGACAGTAAAAAATTTTAAAACTGGTATTTACGTAATAAACAATATTACATTCTCCAATTTTATTAATTTTGTAGATGTATGGTTGTTAGATATGGGCCACTCTGATAGTTTATTTAAGTTAGAATTACAGTAACGGAAGTAGGCTATTGAAATTATTTTGTACGTTGCACGTGCTACGTGCTACGTGCTACGTCGCGTAGAGTTTAATGTCATATTTAGCTACATACAGACTGGACTCTATTCTGTTCCTATATAAAATATAGTGAGATAAAAATTAAATTTAACTAAATTTCTAATTGATTTTAAGTCCATAGAACACAACAATAATTTTATTATAATATTTTTTAGGCTGATGTTATTTAATTACATTTCCTAATTAAATTGTTAAGTAAAAATTATCGACTTTGACTTATATGATAAATGTGAATGTTTGGATGAATGGATGTATATTTGAACTTATCTCTAAAACAGCTGAATGGATCTCGATTAAATTTAGCATAGATGTATGGTAGAATACAGTGTAGAAGACACATAGCCTAGCAGTAAGGTTTTTTAATACCGCGCGGACGGAATCGTGGGCGACAGCTAGGTCCTAATAAAATTGTTAAGTAATAAGTATTAACTAGAGTTTATTATTTTATTACGTTTATTACTTATTTATTGAGGTAGATAGTCTCGTTATCGTGTGATATTTTAACATTGCTGTAAATGTAACAATATGACCCGTAGCGAACTGTGAGTTGTACGAAATTACACCGCTGCAGGACGCGGCAGGACTCATAGGGGTGGCACGCGCTTATTATATCTAGTGATGTCAATGTTTTTATGTCGATATCGATGTCGAAATAAATGTATATCGATAAGTTATCTTAAAACCGTTTTAGTGATGTTTGTTGTGTAATTTGGGCTTTGGATTATAGATATAAATGTTCGAATTCATCATAATTTGAATACGAAATTTAATATCATATTTGATAGCAGGAAAATACTCGTAATATTACCTGACTCCAGAATCAGATTCTACTATAGTAATATTAAGAAATTTGAAACGTAATATTCATGTCTACTTTAAAATAGTTACACTGTAATGTAAATAATTGAAATCTTTAAACATCGATATTTGATATTTGTTTATCACATCCCTAGCAATCCCTTTGTCTGCGCCAGGTGTGTTCCGGGCTGCAGTAGATAGGCTTGTCTTTACATTTCATACAAGTTTTTATACACCATAAATTATAGTAACAGCTGATTTAATTTGAATGGATTTAATTACTTTGTATTATGGAATAAAATAAAAAAAATCCAAACGACTATCGTAAATAGTTGTATAACACCAAAAATTATATAAATTAAAAGGTAAAAATGTTTAAATGTACGAAATCCTATTAGGATTTTAATGTAAATGTAAAGCGTAACAGACAAATCCTAATTTTTTGAAATATTCGTTTCTAGTTTGACTAATAAGTTGATTAAACTTTAATATTGAATTAAGTCTGTACTTGTATACTATATGGTGACATTAAAGAAGCCCTTTAATATCATTACGGCTCTTTGAGAATGTGTTTGAGACATTTGTCCTTTGAGATTTCAAACTTTAACGAAACAATAGGTATATACTTTTTTTTTCATTCGCTAAGTAATGTCATTTAAATTTTATTTCTATTGTTGTGTTCTAGGAGTAGCAAATTTCATAAGTATTATAATGTAAAAAAAACCCAAAGTTTTCCCTTCAAGTGTCCGGGAGTTCCAGTGCGCGGCAGTCACGCAAATAGCCGAGTGACAGTACTCGAACGGGGGCAGCTATCTACCACGTGACCGTCTGCCATGCCCAACCCCCGACATTCACCCGAAACACAAAGTACATCGCTGCTTTCCAGTCGCTTTTCATAACTTAAGGTAGTAGTTGAGCGGCAATGTAAACACATTCAAGTTTGGCTACAATGTTTGTAGTCGTACCCCCTCGGGGTAGGTTAAGGGTGCATTGTAGAGAGCGTCCACGTCACAAACGCATTTTCCAAATGAAAATGGACTATGAAACTAATCTGGAAGGTCCAAATTCGCGTGTCCGTCTCGGGATATAGGTTGTTTAGCGCGAGGGAGATAAAAATAGGGGCTGTTCGCAGGACGTGGACCGAGGCACCGAGGGGACGGAAGGGCGCGGCGCAGGCGTGCTTCAGTCGCCCGCGCGACCCCGTCGCCGCCGGTCGCGCGCCATGGATGAGACGAGGATGCGGGAGCGCGCGCCACTCACCGTGATCGTGGCCCCGAGCCATGCGTCGCCGCCACGGCTCTCGCCCGACCTGCTGCCCGACGGCGATGCCGCCTTCCACCCGCTGGCGGCAGTCAACGGCCGCCTTACACCGCCGGGCCTCGAGCCGGCCTCCTACGCCACGCTCACGCCGTTGCTGCCCTTACCCCCTATTAGTACAGTCTCCGATAAGTTTGCCTATCACGCTGGTGGCACCTTCACGGTCATCCAGCACCAGCAATCGTATTCCTCGCTCTCCCCAAATGCGTACAATGAGCCGCTATCCCCTCAGTCAGCGTACAGTAGGCGGAGCGTGTCACCCGGCTCGTACGAGCGAAGGTCGCCAACGCCGCCACTCCCGAGCCCCGGCCTCGACCTCAACGCGGCGCTGTTGGCGAGAGAGGAGCAAGCACAGCAGCAAGTACAAGTCCACGACACAGAGGAGATTAACACTAAGGAGCTCGCACAGAGGATAAGTGGGGAGTTGAAGCGGTACTCGATTCCTCAAGCAATCTTCGCGCAGAGGGTACTTTGCAGATCGCAGGGGACTCTCAGCGACCTGCTGAGGAACCCCAAGCCCTGGTCCAAGCTAAAATCAGGGCGGGAGACATTCAGGCGAATGTGGAAGTGGCTGCAGGAGCCGGAGTTCCAGCGGATGTCGGCGCTGCGGCTCGCAGGTACTTGCATGATGCTTCTAGTTTTACATGTCTTTAGTGTTTTATGTTGTTTTAGACCTGTAGCACAATGCCGCGATAGTAAACTGGAGCTGAAGCGAAGCGTAAAAAACTTAATAATTAAGGGAAAATGAGTTGGAACATATGGTTTCGGGCCATGCCAAATTTATATTGTAGTTGGGTTCGCTTATGTTCTGGTTGACTTTCGCGGCGTGCTAGAGGTTGCAATACTAGAAATGTTTTAATATCAATTAAAAAAGAACATTGCAACAGAACAAAAACATCTGTGATTTTATTGGAATAAACAATTTATTTGATTTGGTCATATGTTAAACATAAAGATAACAAAGAAAGGCTTATCATATACTTGTTTAAAGTACCAAAGGATATTCCTTTATTGAATACATTAAAATAATCTTATATATAAAATTCTCGTGTCACAATTTTCGTTCACATACTCCTCCGAAACGGCTTGACCGATTCTCATGAAATTTTGTAAGCAAATTGAGTAGGTCTAAGAATCGGCCAACATCTATTTTTTTATCCCGCGCGGACGGAGTCGCGGGCGACAGCTAGTATTCTAATAAGATTTAGGTAACTCATAATAAAATAATAGAGAATTTGTAATGTCACAAAATGCGCGCGCACACTCAGAAATTTCTCAGCGTAACTTTACATTAAACATAGAGCTAAAATGATATTAGTATGTTTATATCTTTCTAACCGTGGTCGACAGTCAACAGATTGAACTCTAAATAATAACCATTTTAACGTCATTTCATAAGACCTGTAAGTAAGCTTGAATTGTTGATACTTTATAAAAATGTGCTAGTTAAGTAGTTTGTCAGATTTATTCGTTTATAATCATACTAGCTATCGCCAGCTCCATCTGAGCGTAACTAAAAGTAAAATCTTGATTGGTCTATATGTTCTTCCAGACTATGTTCTACATACATGCTAAATTTCAGAGAGATCTGTGCAGCTGTTCTGGAGATACCTTCTACATCTATCCATCTATGGTCTGTCCTCGGCGGTATTTCCAAACCGCTACGACTTAGGGTCCTTCAAGAAGCGAGCTTATCACCACCTAAAAGGCCGGCAACGCATCTGCGGTTCCTCTGGTATTGCTGATGTCCATGGGCGTCGTTGAACACCTCGGTGTTCCCGCTGCTCGTTTGCCCCCTTCTGTTATAAAAAAAAATCCAAATATTTGCATTTATAATATAAGTAAGATTTCTAAATATAATTTATTTGAACTTTTACTAATATATCTAAGATAGAGAGATAAATACCAATTCTAGATGTAAAATTGAATATAACTTAACTTATAATAGTAAATTTGCAGCCGTTCTGGAGATATCTTCTAACAAACATACATCCAAACATTCGCATTTATAATATGAAGTATTGGAATATTTTTCAATGTCTCCGTTGAGATGCTAACTAAAGCTAGACTTCAGTATCTAGGTCACCTAGGTATTTTGTTGGTGTGAAAGCGCTCCACTTGTACCTATTTAAAGTTTTGTTTTGTGCGCAACTATTAAAGGTTTTAGGGAATTTCGATATGTTAAAATTATTATTTTTTATCTATAATGTGTCTTTACTTTCGTGTACTTTAAAAATGTGGTTGGCATTTGATTCTTACTAATATTATAAATGCGAAAGGTACATATGGATAGATGTTTGTTAGAAGGTATCTCCAGAACGAAGGGTCTTCGCTGAAATTTCTCATAGACGTAGAACATAGTCTGGAAGAACATATAGGCAATAGGAGTCGCGGGCGAAACAATATCAAGGCAATAAATAGACCTTAGTCTAATAACATATAAATAATGTAGTATCAACATATTAACCATTGCAAAAATCTATCCTATACAAACTACTTTGAAAGAAAAGACTAATTAATGAAGGGTGCTTTCAACCCCTTGCATTGAAATGCACCCTTATACGAATGTTTTTGACAGTACAAAAGAATAACCGTACGCCCTTTTATATGTTTTTATAACGTTATCGATAAAACTCATTTGTTTATCGTGTTCCGACGTCAGCTGGTATCGATTCTTTCAATCGATAACGCGAGGACGCTCGCTCGATATTAGAACGTCACTAAGCTTCAGTCGATATAAGGGCAGTTACACACAAGTTTAGCCGTGAGCTTCTACCTTTCAATTAAATGTCTGCTACTTTAATGCAGCTTTGGACTGAATTTACCTTTTAAATCCAATTAATAAGTGAGTTATTATATAAACATAATTATTATAATTTATGCTATATACTAATGTATAATTTATATTATATGTATTATATAATAAGTGTATATTAAAAAAAATCCTTTATCGTTCAATAAAATAAAACTTGACAAAAACTTTTCGTTCCTAATTTTGTCATTGTGCGGATCCACCCGTTTTTTTATCGCGTCGAAAGTTTTGTGTGTACTCTGCTTTAGTTAGTGTTGGTCGATTATCGTAGTGACGTATTGTGTTTGAATCGTAGACGTGCAAAATGCGGGTTATAATTGCGTTTTGAAGATATGCGTCTTTAAAGTAATTAACTGAATATAAACAATTTAAAAATTTAGGAACTAACTGAAAGCAGAATTATATAAAGTTTGTAAAATCGTCAGATTCCCCTTTTCCTTTGCATCTCTTCTCAGATTATTCCTAACAATCCATTTATACGAGTATCTAATTCAAGGGCAAACTCCTTCAATTGTTTTACATTAATAAATTTCCTTTAATCATCTAACTAATATTATAAATACTACAGTTGGAGCAGTATGGATTGATAGATGGTTGTTGGAAAGTATCACCAGAATGGCTTCACGGATCTTGATGAAATTTGTAGTAAGTAGAACATAATCTGGAAGAACACATAGGCTACTTATTAAGCTTGGTTATTCCATTCTTATGGCCATATAACCTTAACCGATCATTTTCGAATGTTTCTTCCGGTTTCCCTTTTAAAGATATATACTAGAATTATTTTCCTCAAGTTAAAGCAGTTGGATGTAATTAGGTTAGCGATATTTTTCACAATTTGTAACTATTTTCCTCTCGCATACTTTATGTTGATACCGACCTATTTTTATATTATTACCGTAAGTTACAATGTTATCTCCTACTTTTTGTATGTATACTAGCTGTCGGCTGCGACTCCGTCTGCGCTGAATTAAAAAAACTTAATTAGTAGCCTATGTTTTTTTATAAGAGAAGGTGGCAAACGAGCGGCGGGAACACCGAGGTGAACGACACCCATGGAAATCTGCAACACCAGAGGAACTGAAAATGAGTTGCCTATGTGTCCTTTCAGGCTATGTTCTACCTCAATGCCAAATTTCAGAGAGATTCATGCAGCTATTTAAAAGATACCTTCTTACAAACATCCATTCATACATCCAAATATACGCATAAGTTACAAATTATTTTTTTTTTAAATTCCGCGTGGACACAGTCAACGGCGACAGCTAGTTAAACAATAAAAATGATTACTAAATGATACATGATTATTTAGAACGGCGTTTAAGATACAAAAGTCATACAAACATTTGAATGTAAAACCTCCGTAATAAAAACGACAGTAGTTCTCGTCAGCAGGGTAGCGCGAGGCACATGTCTCCCCGCACCCCGCTGTGACGTCACCCGCCCTCCTTCCCTCTCTCTGGTCTCCCCCAGCCCAAGCGGCCCTCATATCGATCGCTCAGCACTCCCCGACCCCCGCAAGGCCCGACTATTCTAGCGGCTCTACGTATTTTGATTCTTAAATGTAATTCCTATTATATCGTGCCCGGGACTTTTACGTGAATATATTTAGTTATCTTTACCTTTTGTTGATATTGTAAATGTAATTTTTACCTAAGAAACCTTTTTATTTTTCAATTTGATGTAAGGTTTCGTCTACAAAAGGTTAATAGAATTTATATGTAGTATTTTACAATAATTGCTACCATACAATGTTCCATCCTTTCAAAGAACGGAATGGAAACTAATTAAAAAAAACTAAATCTAATATATAAAAGAAAGTCGTGTTAGTTACACTATTTATAACTCAAGAACGGCTTTACCGAAATGGCTGAAAATTGGCGAGGAGGTAGCTTAGAGCCAGGAGACGGACATAGTATACTATTTATTCATTTTTTTTCGAATTTATGCCTTGAAGAGCTGCTTTTTATTTAACTGACTAATATTATAAATGCGATTTAGATGGATGTGATGTGGATGGATGTGATGTGGATGGATGTGATGTGGATGGATGGATGGGTGTTTAAAGATATCTCTAGAACGGCTGAACGGATCTCGATTAAATTTGGCATACGTATAGAACATAGCCTGAAATAACACATAGGATACACTAATTAAGTTTTTTATATATCTACGCGGACGGAGTCGCGGGCGACAGCTAGTACTAAATAAAAATTTGACTAAGCTCGTGTATTTCGTTATGTATTGACTTGTACAAAATTTGTTAGTAATTTGAGAGAATAAGATAGGTGTTAGGTTAGTGCCATATAGTAATCAGCTTGCTCTATATCTATCATAAGAGTTTACTTGAAAACTAGATCTTTGTCACAAAAAAAAGTTTGATACGAATTTGAAGTTGTCTTTGTTTGGCTCTTCGTTGTTATTTGTTTAAGATTCCGCTTTGGAAGTATAAGAACATGTTAAGGAAATATTTAGACGATTGTACTTACAAGGTAGAGTAACATTTAAAAATGTTTTATTCCAGAAAATTATTCGTCATGGACTCTTAGTAATGCTTAAGAACTATAGATCTTATTGTTCCAATCTTGAGTTAAAAATGTTGTACTGAATTTTAGGTTCTTTTCTTTACAGATATCTGAAGTTAATTATAACACGATAGTCATTTGTAACTGAATTTCCAGATACGCCACATCAAACGATAAAAGGCGACAATGTAAACAACATGCAGCAGTCTTACTGCGCTCCCCGGGATTACCCGGGCGCTCCGCCCCCGCCCCAGGGCTCCGGGCTGTACCCCGGGCCTCCGCCCCACTGGGATGCCCCGGTATACGAACCGGCTGGGGACATGTCTTGCTTGTGAGTCCTTCCCAAATCTTGATTGAGTTCCTTAAAATTGTCATCCTCAAATCCTCTCCCTCCATTTTTATCTTTGATTTTCGTTTCCATAATCTCGTCCAGTGTTTCACTTTCTTTGGTTTCAGATAATTTATATTCTAGTTTCAAAATTTCAATTCGATCTTTTTAATTCTTCTAGTCTTTTTTCGCTTTCTAGTCTCACAAGTGGATCCTTATCCTATACCTTGGCTGCGTAGCAGTGTACTTGGTTTCTTATAGATGTCAAAAGAAAGCTTGTCGCAAAGGTAATATCAATACAAAGGCTTTTCGTACATTTTAAAATATTATAATAACAAATTGAAGTGGTTTTAATGCTTTGTGACAAGCCTAATATTAGATAAGATGACAACATTTGGGTGGAATATATTTTTTGTTTTAATAAAATTGTGTAAAGTAAAAATAGATTTGCTCTAATAGATGTTTTACCCTTGAATAGGCAGTATCCTTCCTAATTAGCTGGCAAAGATACTGCCTACGCAAAGAATAATTGTTTTAGTCTTGGATAATTGTTTTTAGCAGTAGGTAAGTGTATTTTGTTAGCTTAAAGAAGCCAAGGTGAATGTTAGACTGCTGTTTCTGCCATTCCTTCCCTTTATCCCTCCCGCGCCAGGGCTGCCTAGTTTTGTTTAAAAATATGATTTTTAGGTGCCTGCGAGATATCACAACCCTTAATTAATGTTGTTTACATTGTCGCCAGGTATGCGTTTGTAATTTTTCTTATTTATTAGATAAAGGTTTTAGATAAAGACAGACTGGATCTGACTTAATGTGTTTATTATTTGAAATAATATTTCTAATAAAATTCACTTTTATTTCTTATCTATTCCAGTTTGTCAACTTTAAAATTAAGATTTAAATTGATGCAGTTTTCAGTTTTATTTATTTTCAGACTGGATTATAACCCATTTGGTGTTACAAATATCTTTTTAGATTTGATATAGTGCAACTTTAGCTATACATTTCTTTTACTATGAAGTCTTCACGTGTAACGTTAATATTAATATTTTCTTTTCTTATTGTTATTACTGTGTTTACTGAGTAAAGTCTCTAAGGGACTACTGACTCTGAGTGGAAAGGCAAATTAAACAATTGTACACGTGGAATCTATTTAGTTGTTTATGTTATAGCAGCATGATTTTTGTACGTAGTTAAGTCTGGATTAGAAGAATCGGAACAGAACATTTGTAATTTCCTTGAATTGATAAAATTTCTTATACAGATTTTAAAATATGTTGTCGTTGTTTTTTTTTTATTTCTAGAAAAAAAAACTGTTTTTAGAATTAAGCCTACATAAAGTATGTTATAGTGAATATTGCGAGATATTCATATTTATGCTTTAGTAATTGTTGTCTTTTCTTTTGTTGCAGCGGCCCAGATTCCTCAGAGAGGCAGTAAGTAATGTTTGAATTGTTTTAACATAATATGTAGTACCTGGATGACCGAGCTTTGCTCGGTATTTTTTGGAAATTATATTTAAGTACGAATTATTAATAAAATGATGAAATATGAATAATATTTTTCGATCTTACCGATAGAAAAAGTTAAGTTTATGTTTAAGTTGATTATCGATAAAACACGAAATAAAATGACATTTCCTAAAAATGATTCCTAGCTAGATCGATTTATCGCCCCCGAAACCCCGTATATACTAAATTTTATGAAAATCGTTGGAGCCGCTTCCGAGATTCCAATTATATATATGTACAAGAATTGCTCATTTAAAGATATAAGATAATATATGTTCATAAAGTATTTTAATCCAAAGTTAGTTTTATTAAATTTCATGATATTGTGTGCTTAAAATAGATACAAGAGTTAAACAAGTCAGATAATCCCTAAATCAAAATGATGAGTCATTTTACTTAAATAAGGACAGAACTAATACTTTTTCGACCAATGACGATATAAAAGAGCCTTGACAGACTGACAGACGGACAACAATGAATAAGGGTTCCGTTTTTAATCTTTTCGAGGTATTAACCCTAAAAGTGATTTATTAATTATTAATTGAAGCGCCAATAGCCTAATGGTTAAGGGTACGGATTTCCGATCACGATGTCGCGGGTTCGAATCCCGACATTCGACTACTATCGTAAACCATATCCTAACACAAGCCTAGAGCTTAGTTGGAATGGTTAAAGAGATATTAGTAAATTTACAAAAAAATCTGCTAATATTTTTATCAAAAATAAATGAAAATAGAAATACTTAGCAATAGGTAGCGGCTATGAATTCACAAGTACATTAAACTTTTAGTCTAATTGTATTAAGAGATGTTTTTTTTTTATAATTTCAGGCTGCAAGCGCAAGGAGGAAATGGCTTCGGATACCATGCCTTCCCCGAAGAAGCCGCGTTTGGTTTTCACAGACCTCCAGCGGCGTACTCTACAGGCTATTTTTAAGGTAATTTGCTTTTAGTAACTAAATTATAAAATGTCTCACATCGTATTAGAACGCTAGTCATATGTAAATCTATAAAAATAAATTAAAATTTCTTTAAAACCCGCGAGCATTATTTTTATGCTTAAATTAACCTCTATTCCGCCTTGTTTCTGATATCAAAAATGTATTTGAAACAAAGTTCTCTATACAAAGAAAGTAACCAAACCAACCAAGTAAGTAAAGTTACAAGCGTCAATAGCCTAATGGTTAAGGATACGGATTTTCGATCACGTAGTCGGGGGTTCGAATCCCGCCATTCGACTATTGTCGTGAACCATATCCTAGCACAAGCATACAGCTTAGTTGGAATAATAAAAGGAATATTAGTAAATTTACAAAGAAATCTGCTAATATTTAGAACAAAAAAACCCTAAGTAGTTAAGAGAAAGAATGGTTAAGGTTCGAATCGGTGAGGGCACTGTTTTAGTCCCAGATTCTTAAAAAACAATAATATCTTGTTAGAATTATTTAGCGCGAATGGCGCGCTTTCGTTACAAAGTCAAGTGTCAGAATTATTAGTGAGGGAACATAAACGTTGACATTTTAATAAGGCTAATATTGCGCCGGTACACCGGCACAGTGTCGGATTTTCTGCCTAACACTAATATGAAAATTTCTTAATTTCCAGGAAACAAAGAGGCCGTCAAAAGAAATGCAAGTAACGATAGCGCGGCAACTTGGCTTAGAGCCGACGACAGTCGGAAATTTCTTCATGAACGCGCGTCGACGTTCTATGGACAAATGGAAAGATGATGACGCGCCATCTACCGAGTTGGACCAGCAATGCGAGAGTCATGATTTAGACCACGTGCCTAGTCTTGATTCTGCTGACTCTGAGGAGGACCACGACGATCCCGACGACCATCTCTTGTGACGCCGTATACCCCAGCACCATTTATTGGTGCTTTGAAGGAAGTAAACAAAGAGTTGTATTTTCCTAATGCTGGCTAGTAGAAAAATGTTGGGATTTTGATAAAATTAACAATATTAAAAATATTTTAAAATACACACCTACTAAAGATACATAGAAAAAGAAATATGTATTATTTAAAGCTATAAATGCTATTTTAAACAAACTTTTTTTTAATTTTAAAGTGAAAACGTATGACCTTGAATGGAATGCACAGTTTGTTTTTTAGTAACAGACTTTGTTTAAGTGATTTCTACTAGAAAGCATTGGGGAGTTTAACTCGTGTTGGTGTTACATATTGAAGGAAGGACAATGGTGCGGTACTCGTGTTTAGCTATTGATCTCCCAATATAAACGTTTCTAGTCAAACGTAATCAGATAGATAATTAAGTTGTTCTTCAGTACCTTTAGTATTACTTGTATGTTTATTTTAAGAGTGTTTAGAAATTGCCTGAATACACCTAAAGTTTTCTTGTCATAATATTGATACGTACTCTATTTATTTTAATTTAATATTTAGATGTCATCAAGGTTTTAATATTATTTATACTATAGAGAAAATGAGAAACAAAAGGTTAGTGTGGTTTGGACATGTTATGCGGAAGGATAATCATATAAACAAAAAAGTAATGAGATTGAATGCGGATGGCTACAAAGGTAGAGACCAAAGTAAGTATGGTTGTGTGTGAAAGAGGATATGCATAAGAAGGAGATGAATTCAGATATGATGTCTGATAGAGATGTATGGAGGAGTACATGTGCCGACCCTCCGTACGGACAGGCTGGTTGATGATAAAGGATGTCTGACCCTGTGAGAGAGGCGCTACTATGCAACTAGTCATGTCACAGAATATATAAAACCTACTTAGGCATAGAAAATGCCTGAAAAGAAAAAATACTGTAGTACGACAATAAAATTTGTGATTTTTTTTTTGTATTGAAAGAGGGGCGCTAGCGTGTTGTCATAATTTAGTTTGACTTATGCCTACCGGGTCATATATCTTTGTCGTTAACTTGGAATGCATGAGTTTGGTCTGCACAGAGTTATTTTATGGATATTAGTGCAAATTAGCAATTTTATTTACAATCATTTAAAGATATTTCTCGAATATTTAGTTGTGTTCAGGCATTTCGAGCTTTCTAGTTAATAGAAGACGCAATAAAATGTCCGATGTTAATTTATTTTTCAACAATATTGAAATTTAGCATTTATATGTTTAAATAGCAAAAATGGCCGATCAAATCGGACGATTGGTGACGGTTAATTATAATTTAGTAGAATTTAATATGAAATCAATTGTAGACAGTACGTTTCGAAATATCAATATAATTGCAGCTTATTTTAAAAATGTTACAAAATTTATACAATCACACAATAGTTATGTAAAAGATATTTGACAAATTTGTAAAAAATTAGTCGTAAGCGTCAAATTTCACTGTCTTTTTTTACAAAACAAATATCATGTCAATGGTGACGAGTCAAAGTGTGGTACAACAAACTTATACTAGGACCTAGCACGAATATTCCTGATAACGTTTTCATATCGTCATCGATGTCATCATATGTCAAAATTTATACGCCCCCTACCGGACTTAATCAACAACATATCTCATACAATTTTTTACTTTTTTTGTCTTAGACGATGGAATATTCGTATTAGGACCTCTGGTCCGGTAAAAAGAGCAATGTTATCGCGGTTAATTTTATAAGAAAATAAGTAATTCCAACTGTTAAGAAGAAAATCCGAATATGTCCCAGTATATTGACGCAGCACTAGCCTTACTAAAATGTTGACGTTTCTGTCCCCTCACTATTCATTCTGACATTAGACTTTGTAACAAAAGCACGTCATTCGCGCCAAATAGTTCTAACTAATACTGTCTAAAACTACTTAGGGATACATAAGACCACAGATAACAAAACAGTTATAGAGTAAAAATATTTAATGGTACACTGACATTGGGGATAAGGCTACTGATAATTTGCGTCGGGCAAATTTATATATATATTTTTTATATCATAAGGAGGCAAACAAGCAAGCAGCCACCTGAAGTCGCTGAAATAGCGAAGTGACCGTTGCCCATAGACATATGCAAATTGCATATGAGTTGCCTACCTTTAATCGACGGAGGAGAGGATGCGCAGAAAGAAAATATTTTTCCTTTCCATGCATCCTCTCGTCAGGAAAGTCCACTTCTACTTCCCATTCTTTCCTCAGAAGAAAAAGGGTGGGAAGAGAAAGAGGGGTAAATTAGGCTTCCGAGACGAATTGGTAATAACTAAAACTAAACTATAGAGACAGTCTTCAATTTAAAAACTATGCAGCAATATTTAAGTAATATTTTCTATGTTTGAATAAGTTTTCTAATAGAATTCGTGATAACAGCGCCTTTCTGGACCAGTTTGTTGCACTTCGTCTTTATGACATGTGGATGACCTAGTCAAAAGATCTCAGAACATTCCCGACTATAGTCAGTACAATTTAGCAGATGAAGGTTAAATCGTGCGTGATATTATATAAATTTAATTAGATATAAATTATTTAAGAAAGCTTCTAACTTAAGCGAGGCAATCTAGTCTGAGTTGTGCGTAGATTGTTAATACGACAGTTAAATTATGCTTAAATAGAACGCGACTGTGAGAGCGTTTGCAGTGACAGAATTAAAAACTTTTTACACGAAATTTCAAAGAATAAAATGTAGTCCTTCAACTTAAAGACATGTAATTACATTCCGTTTTACTTAGAAAATATTTATTTAAAATATATCATTTACATTTTATTTTAAACAGTATTTTAAGTTAGTGAAAAAGATTTTATTTAACATTTTTCTTTTTTTTTTATAGATAAATTATTTTTTAGATTAATTTTGTTATAAGATTACTAGTCGTTTTTAAATTATATTTCGTATTTATCTTGCAATATAAATAATAAAACACAACCAAAGGTATTCAGTTAATTACCAAAGATTTGTTTACGTGCAATCATTTATTATATCGTAAGTTTTCACTGCCAAAACATATGTTTATATACAAGTTTATTTTTTAATTACCAGATAGATAAAAAACCACAAAAAAATAGGTTAAAATATGTAGTCCTTAGTTTTTACATGATAAAGTTAATAGCAAATTTTTGCAATCGACAAATAATAATTTTTTTTTGGTAGGATAATTTTTCGATTTTGATTTACATTTTTTTCCTGGTAATTACAAAATATCAATGTATTTTTGTTTTTAAAAATACTGTGCAAGTTTTGGCAGAGGAAGCTCACGCTAATATAATTAATCTGTTTAAATAAAAGACGTTTAGATGTAATAGAAAAGTTTTAGCGCATGAAATCGGATATCAGATTATAGCGCGAAAAATCGATGAAAAAATCAAAATTAACTACATGTTTTGTTGTAGTTGTTTTTAAAAACGTATCAATTATATTTGAACGCCTTAATGATATTTACTGGATTAATTATTATATTTAACAGATATTTTGCTATTTATTTTAAAATATTTGCAGTCTCAGAATTGTAGTTTAAAATATTTTGTTTTTTAATTTGTGATTGAAACAAGATTGATAGAAAAAAAACTGTAATTATTTATAAAAATAATATTTGATAAATTATAATACATTATATTTTTCGCGCTGATTTTTGAAACAGTATGATTTTTGCAAAACAAAATATATTGCGCACAAAATGATGAAAATAAAAGAAGGTAACAATTATGTATTGTCCATGATTAAAAAAATAACATTATATTTCTGTATCACAATAATATTTATTAAATTATTTAAACTTTCGTGAAACATTATCAAAAATTTATATAAAAACGACTAAAACACTCACGTATATTCGTCCGGTGTCGGCACCGATTAATTTCAAGCCCATCTGGGGTGAGTGGGACTGATATTTCGCGGACGCAAACTCACTGTGGGCCCCTGATAGGCTCGAAACTAGTCGGTGCCGCCAACGGAGGAATATACGTGAGTATTTTAGCTATTTTTATATAAGTTTATAATATTATGTATATTATGAATTACTCAAACTTTGTATGTTTCTCAGTTTATTGATGGAAATGCAATATTTTTGTGCATATATTGTGCGCTTTTCTTTCTGACTGTACATAGTACTTAATGTATGTAAGAATAAATGTAAATTTTCTAAAAAGATATGAGTTCTTTTATATTTTTTTATTAGAATGTTGTTAGTTAATTGACTGATTCCACTAAAATATTGTCCACAGACATCTGCAATCTTACTAATCTTAGTAGAATGGATAAATGGATGTTTGTTTGAACGTTGAACGGATCATCAGTTCTCAATAAAATTTGGCACAGATGTAGATAGTCTGGAAGAGCACTTAGGCTACTTATTAAGATTTTTTTAATACCGCGCGGACGGAGGCGCGGACGGAGTCGCGGGCGACAGCTAGTACCTTGTTAAACTACAACATGTAATTACAAAATATTGCTTTACAACGAGTTATTGTATATTTTTAAACTTCCACTTTGTTGAATTATCCAAAACGTAGTTATAATGATGTCGCTTTAGCGGGTGTACTGCCGCGCATCCAGAAAGGCAGATGAGTTCCATACTTTTAGACAATACAAGGATATTTCTCATTTGCCCCTTTCCCGACATATTTACTTCCCTTATCCATTATTTTGGCAAATGAAAAAAGAGTGTTAGGTTTAGCACGAATCTTCATCTGACGAAACGCGGAAATCGCTCAATAGATGGCGCTTTTTCATATTTTATTTAAGGTAACAAATTTAAATACCGGGATCCCTTAACTTGGTGTTTGCAATTTTAAAATTGTAACCAATTGTAACATTTTAAATAAAATGCAGGTGAAACATAAATAAATACTAAATCACGAGCTTTTTAAACCAAACTAATGAGAAAAAGGATATATTCCAAGTTACGACTATCTTTGACCTATATATACAAATCAAACTGACTACATTTTAATGCGTTTAATGGTCCTATAAGCAATCTATTAGACTAGATTTTTTACACTTAATGTATACTTAGGTTCTCCCTTAGTAAACATTAATTTTTTAATTCTAAGTGCATTGGTTAGTATTAAATAGCTAGACATAACTAAACAACGTTTTGTGGTACGAAAATACAAGAATGGAGAATTTCTTCCTTTTTGTCGGTTAATGATAAGTGAATGAACGATAACATTTTATCATTGTAATCAGTTCATTCACATTGTTATATTCATTGACCTATTTATGAATTGTATAAGAGTTAGGGTAATTCTATGACTACTAGACCTTCTTGCAAAGAGTCTCTCATCCCTCTCACTAACACTTCCGTTAGCAAAATGGAATTCAGCCAAATTGCCTTTCAAAGCCAAATCCACACTTTTATCGTAAAATATATGAAGAGAATTTTATAAACAATTATGTTTTTCAGCTAAATTTTGATTCATAATAAAGTTTAACTGCATCTTAATCACAAGCTCGATTGTTTGAAGTTTCCAATTTATTTTATTAGCTGTAGCCCGCGACTCCGTTCGCGCGTAATTAAAAAAAATAATTAGTAGCCTATGTGTTTTTCCAGACTATGTTTTACATCTATGATAAATTTCAGCGAGATCCATGCAGCCGTATCGCCAATAGTAAGATAAAGGGTTTGCTTGAAGTCCAACTTAAGCCTGAATAAGCTTGTTGGTATTTATTTATCAAATAAAATCGTCGTTGGTGTTTCGCAATCTTCAAATAAGCTGTGAAATACAAAATATTTGTTCAGGAATTATAATGTATCAGTTTTAAATGTTAGTAATATTATAAATGCGACTAGTCCGATAGTCGTATCGGTGAATGGATTGATAGAGAAGAGTTTCGACCAACATCTCAAGAAGGTCTCGCTAAACAGTTGGATTAAGGGCCCGATACAAAAGGCAGTTATCCTAGAAACCGCACGCATCGTGAGAAGGTTTCTGTCTGCAGCCCTGACCACTGGTTGTTTGAGGGATTCCGCAGCCGGTGGTGCTCTATTTTTAATATAATATATTTTGTATAATTTTTTTGTTTTATTAATGCGTATGTTTAGCTGGATGAATGTTTGTTTGTAGGTATCTCCGTACGGCTGCGTAGATCTCTCTGAAATTGGTCATACATATAGAATATAGTCAGAAAGAACGCTACTTATTAAGTTTGTTTTTAGACCCGCGCGAACGGAGTCGCGGGTGACAACTAGTATTTGTATAAAACATGGCCATCTTCTTCATTGTCTCTAAAAATAGATTCAACTAAATGTTTTAATATTTATATTAATTAGAATTTTACGGTGACATGAGTAACGCGAGTCAAACTACGTAGAATATATCTTAAACTAGCTGTACTCCCTTACAACCCCTTTTACGCGTTAAAAAGTAGCCTATGTTCTTCCCCAGGTTCTAAACTATGTGTGTACCAAATTACATTTGAATCTGTTCAGTAGTTTTTGCGTGAAAGGACAGACAGACAGAGTTATTTTAGCATTTATAATGGTAAGGTTTGATCAGTTTAAAGACGTGTGACTCATTTTTGTTTGTTTATATTAAAGATTTTAGTATGGTTATTTGGCAAGCGAGCGATGTGGGTCACTGAGGAATATGTTTCGGAAGTATTAAGTAAAAACCTTGGAACTGGTTAATAATCGATCGTGGTCTTATATGGGACAATGTCAAGGCTTTCTCTTTAAAAGGAAGTAAATCTGTTTTAATGTCTTGGTATACATCAGTTTGATACAAGAACAAAGAAAATATGTTTTGGAAACTTTAAAATCTTGATTGATTTCTATAGTTTTAGCCCGCGACTCAGTAAATAGTCTATGTTTTTCCAGACTATGTTCTACATCTGTAACAAAATTCAGCAAGATCCGCGCAGTGCAGAACCATCTAAACTATCGCATTTATAATATTAGTAAGAGTAAGATGTATTTACACATATAAAAATTGGACAATGTATTTAAAAAAAAAAATACGTTTCGTCTTTGTTTAATATTTATAACCTAAACTTATTTAACAAAAAAAACCTGACTGACTAAAGCATGAAAGCAAAGAGCTGAAGATGAAAATGGTAATAAAAACTTTCTTTGTTTTTCTAATATACTTACTAGAGAAAGTTGTAATCTAATCAATTTAAGAGTCAATAGCCTAATGGTTGAGGGTACGGATTTCCGATCACGAGGTCGGGGGTTCGAATCCTGCCATTCGACTATTGTCTTAAACCATATCCTAGCATGAGCTGTAGCTTAGTCAGAATGGTAAAAGAAATATTAGTAAATTTACAAAGAAAAATCTGCTAATACTTTTCTTAAAAAAAATCTTTTTTTATTTAATATAACAGTAGTTAATCTAAAAGTATAAATAAAATAATATTTATATTCTGGTATATTATGTGCATGTCTTTGTAACTTCGGCGTAAAAACTTTTTTTTTAAATCCCACTCCAAAAGCCCGTTAAGTCTTCGACCAACTTTATAAGAACTTTGACGTTGTTAAATAGTTAAGAAATTGAGTTCGGAAGTTTGTAGGTAGCCTATTTTACTTCGTAATAAGGTCAAAACAGTTTTTTTTTCATGATAAAAATTTGATATAGGTATAATTTTTTACTTAAGACTTTCCGATTGAAAGGTGTTTTTTGCGTTTTCATTTCTTTGTAACGCATTTACGTCGTTATTTTAAAATAATTATTTTTGTAACAAAAGCCCTGTTACGACGCACTTTCCGATGTATATCTTTACACCATTAAACTTGGGAGGTAAGTTAATTAAAAAAAAAGTGTTATGCAAGTAAGAGACAAAAATTGCCTGCCAATAGCAAGAAAGAAATCGTTGTCATGGTAACGGTAATTCTCAGCCAATGGCGAAGCATTTGCAATTGTTTTACGCAATCTAAACAATAAAATTTGTCTAACAAAAATGAATGGAATTTCATGCAGATGAAGCTGCACGGGTACAGCTGGTTATATTTAACTATTTGACGCCAGCCAAAAAGGACAAAGCAGCATACCTCGGGACCCCGACTGGCCGCCGACCCATCGGTCGGCCCAGGTACCGCTGGCGAGTCGCCGTAGAGCTGGATCTGCGGGAGCTACAAGCGATGGACTGGCAGGAGAAGGCGCAAGACAGGCGACTTTGGCGATCTCTTGTGTCGGAGGCCGAGACCCACTTTGGGTCGATGCGCCAGCGGAGTAAGTAAGTATTTGACGCCAACGACTTTGACCGCGCGGAATTAAAAAAAATGCTTAATAGGCTATGTTCTATAACTGTGCTAACTTTCATCAAGATCTATTGCGTCGTTCCGGAGATACCTTCTAACAAACATCCATCCATCTAAACTTTCGCATTTATAATAGTAAGATTTTTTACTAAGCTTACAAATATATATTTTTAGTAGAGTCACGACTTTTGGCACAAGTACCGAGTCTAATCAAATAAGGTATCCGAGGGAAAGTATTTTGGAGAATGTTTCACCCACTAAAGATTAACTGGGTCAGTGTCAAGGTTCTATACCAAAAAAAACAAAGAAATAAACGTAGTTAACTGTCTACTAGCTGTATAATTTCTAATTGAATATTATATCATTATTTTTGTTCAAAATCTTGAGGACAAATAACTAAGGATTAACAATTAAAATCATTAAACACGGTTGGACAAATATTACTTAGTAAAATGTAGCTACTTTAATCTAGTTATCGTAGGTTTCTGAGACCAAAATCTTCACTTACAACATATTGTTATATCTGTTACGTTAGTGGGGAAGACGATATGTTTTATGCATACATTTTGGTCTCAGAAAAAGACAACTCCACGAATAGCGTGTATTATCCGTGTCAGCAGGACCTGAACTCACTCCAGCTAAGCCAACTCTAAAAAATCTCAACTACCTCTTGATGTTTTTCGTGATCTCAGAAACCTACTATAATCTAAATGACTACAGGACCAATTTTTACCTTTACTTAATAAGCTATAGGGTATGTAACAATTGTAAACAAATAGAAATATTCTCTTTACGTAGTTATTTAATATCTAAAGAAAGTCTAAATGAAGACAATGATCCTTTAATTACATTGGAAATGGCGTCTTAATTCCTATCAATAGAGAACATTTTTGAAATGCTCTTTGTATTTATAATCGACAGGTGAGCACGCTCCAGATAAATACAAATCCTAAATCGATGCATTTAATCGACAAACATAATTCGATGTAATAAGTAATCGATTTAAAAAAGTCTTAAGCCGGTGGCGTGTTTAGCCATAAACGTGCTCGTAAGTCCCGTTCAAGCCTTTTCACTTCCTTAAGACAAAAGCCTTTAAAAGTCTTTAGAGCGGTGCAAAAAATTACAAAAGGTCACAGAAGCCTGAAGGCGTGCGAGCGAGATGACGCGTTAGGAAACGTTACGTGTTAGAGGTAGATGGGTAATTGAAAATCAATTTATTAGACTGTGACGTCACAGAGCACGCATGCGCAACACCTAGCTGCCTGTCAGGGTTGCTAGTCAACGAAAAATCCCTGTTGAGGAAATAAATAGTTTTATATAAATTTTTATGTGTAAATTTTAATTTGTGGAAATCCTCCCAATATTTCAACTGACAATCATACACTCGACGAAAGTTTTCTTTTGTTTTCAACTGTTAAGGAGTTATTTATTTAGTATGTATACAGTAATGAACATTCAATAAAGCTTTAATTACTCTAATAATATGTTTTAAAATCACTTCAATAGGCCCTTCATATTTTCCAATATGAACTTGTCTATACAGGTTAAGATAACGCAAGTAATGACAAATATAGCGTACAATATTTTAGACGACAAATAGACAAACAGATGTTACGATCGGTATATTTAACCGCTGCACGCGGCAACACTTACCACATCTGGGCGGGCGGCCCGAAATAGCGGCGGGCGGGGAGCGCGGAGAAGGGACGCTCGTGGCTCGCTCAGTACAGCGGCGCCGCTGCCGCTACACAGCGCCATGGCGTCGGTCGCCGCCTGGCTCCCGTTCGCCCGCGCCGCCGCCATCGGCTGGGTGCCCATCGCCACGCACCCGCTGCCGCCGCCGCCCGTGCCCAAGGATCGCCGCCGCGCAGAGGATGAGAAGCTCCTCATCAATGTCTCCGGCCGCCGCTTTGAAACCTGGCGGAACACCCTCGAAAAGTACCCCGACTCTCTTCTTGGCTCCTCCGAGCGAGAGTTCTTCTACGATGAGGACAGTAGAGAGTACTTCTTTGACAGGGACCCGGATATATTCCGACACATTCTCAATTACTACAGAACCGGCAAATTGCATTATCCGAAACACGAATGCTTGACAGGGTACGATGAGGAGCTTGCGTTCTTTGGTATACTACCCGACGTGATCGGCGACTGCTGCTATGAGGACTACAGGGATAGGAAAAGGGAAAACGCCGAAAGGCTAATGGACGATAAGTTGAGTGAAGCTGGCGATCAGAGTCTGCCCCAGCTTACTGATTTAAGACAAAAAATGTGGAGGGCGTTCGAGAACCCGCACACTTCCACTGCCGCTCTAGTATTCTATTACGTGACGGGTTTCTTTATTGCTGTCTCGGTGATGGCTAACGTTGTGGAGACAGTGCCCTGCGGCCACAGGCCAGGGCGCGCCGGGACCTTGCCTTGCGGCGAGCGATACAAGATAGTCTTCTTTTGTTTGGACACCGCGTGCGTGATGATTTTCACGGCGGAATATCTGCTGCGGCTGTTCGCGGCGCCGGACCGATGCAAATTTGTGCGCTCTGTGATGTCAATCATCGACGTGGTGGCCATCCTACCGTATTACATCGGGCTGGGCATCACAGACAACGACGACGTGTCCGGCGCGTTCGTCACCTTGAGAGTGTTCAGAGTGTTCCGTATCTTCAAGTTCTCGCGACACTCTCAAGGTCTCAGGATCCTGGGTTACACGCTCAAGTCATGCGCCAGCGAGCTCGGCTTCCTGGTGTTCTCGCTTGCTATGGCCATCATCATCTTCGCGACGGTTATGTTCTATGCTGAGAAGAACGAACAGGACACAAACTTCACGTCCATTCCTGCCGCCTTCTGGTACACCATTGTGACCATGACTACTTTAGGGTAAGTTTTTTTTTCTAAATTATTTGTATTTCTTCCTTGTTGTCTTTTCCTTCGATGTATGTTTAACGTAATCGTTAATCGTACGTTTATCGATCGAATGTTTTCACAGACAAATCTACAATGAGTTATCTTCTTCCAATTGTATCTTATTTCTCGCAATTAATTTGTTCATTACACTCAATACCATTTGCATTGTGTAATAACCAACACAAATCAATACGTAACACAATATTGAAGTAGTCGATAATGATTGCAGAACAGAGCTGACACCTGTCGCGGCCATTAAAATTGACGCGGGAACGTGTCATGGCGTCAAAGATTTCCCTCCATAAATGGTTCATGCTTTGAAATATTGAAGTTGCAACAGCGTTTTTAATTTCTCTTTCATTTGCTGAAAGCCGGCCGCTCGTAAAGCAATTTTGTAAGCGTTCTTTTATTTTGTAAGGGAGATTTGAAACGGTAATAATGTGGGTTCGCGTTTTGCCTGCGGATATAAAAATGTTTTTGCTCGAATCACCTACGTATGAAAACATTGGCCACTAAAAGCGCAGTTAAAATTTTGAAAAACATTTTAGTTTTAATGAAAATATTAAACATTTTATTACGAGCGATAGCATTTTAATATTAGTTTTGTTAATTATAATTTATCATACGCCAATAATATACATCATTATCTTACTATTTTTTTATATCATAAGGTGGCAAACAAGCGAGCGGTCACCTGAAATCGCTGAAATAGCGAAGTGACCGTTGCCCATAGACATACGCAATTGCATATGCGTTGCCTACCTTTAAACGACGGAGGAGAGGATGCACAGAAAAAAAAATTTTTCCCTTTCCATGCATCCTCTCATCCGGAAAGTCCACTTCCACTTCCCATCCTTTCCTTATAAGAAAAAGGGTGGGAAGGGAAAGAGGACTAATTTTGGCCTCCGGGACGCACACTCATCAGACGAAACGCGGAATTGCTTCCACTTCACCTGGCGAGCCGGGCCGATTCGTGCGAAGATGTTAAAGCGTGCTCTACCACTGTATACATTTACTAATATTATAAATGCGCGAAAGTTTAGATGGATGGATGTTTGTTAGAAGGTATCTTCAGAACGGCTGCATGGATCTCGATGAAATTTGGCATAGATGTAGAGTCATATGAACATAGTCTGGAAGAACACATAGGCGACTCATTTTTTTTAATTACGCGCAGAGTCACGAGTGACAGGTTTTATATTTTTCATAATATAATAAAAAAACTTATTATTTGGGTTTTTTACAACCTGATTGTAAACTATATTATATTAACTAATAAAATATCTCATAATGAGATAAATTGTGACGTCATTGTGACGCAAAGGACTACGTCTATACTTTAATGTAACAGAAATTGAACTCTACATGAATATGTAGCAGCTCTTGTATTGAAAGGTATTGCCGTCTCTTTTCTTTTAATGACAATGAAAGAGACCACAATAGGTTAATAAAAATTTTGAAAGGGAAAATCTATAGCTTTTTTCTATGTTCTATGTTTTCTTCTGTTGATTTCTAAGACCAATACCGTTTAAATCATATTGTTATCTCTGTTTTTTCAATGATAATGACAGGGACGACGATATTTTTAATACAGAGGTTTGTGTTTCTGAAACCCATGGATATAAAACTCTATTCCTTCTAAGATGTGATTTAAGGATTTGTTAATGAAATTTAGCAAAAGATTTTTGATAAAAACAAAGCAGTTAAATAATGATAGTATCACAATTGTCATTCTTATTTTTAAACTCAAAGCGTACTTACAGTTTTGATTTGACGACTAGTTTAAGACTGCGAATCCATCCGCGAGGAATTAAAAAAAATCGTCTATGGCCAATGTGCTCTTCCAGACTATGTTCTATACGCAGCCAAGTTTAATCGAGATTCATTCAACCGTTCTTAAGATACCTTCAAACATACATCTAAGCATTCACATTTATAATATTAGTAAGTTAATAGCAATTTGTGATAGCAACTTCTTTAAGTTATTTCTTGTTTCATTTTTAATTTATTTTTTCATGTAATTAAACTCGAGTTTGTTGATAGACAGTATTAATTGATAAAGAGTGGACAGATTAAAAATATTATTAAAATTAATTAATTTAATGGTAAATTGCAATTAAAAAAAAAAGATAAAGAGTAAATCACGATTTAAAAAAAACAACCATTGACTTTGTTTCTTCATCCAACTTGTGCTGTTCCATTTTCAAAAGTATTTTCAACAAAGTATTTTGAATCAACTTGAACAAACTGTAAGTTTCACAAACAACTCTATCGAGAAGAAATATTTCCGATTTTCATTTGCTTTATCTCATCTCGGTTGTGGAAGTTGCGCACAGTTTTGGCAACATTACACCTTTGTAGGTCACCCTAGAGATTGGAGTGTCTCAGACATTTGACTATCAAGAGACAGGACTTGTTAAGCGCACATTTCCCTCTGTGAAAAAGCAAACAATATCTTAATCTGTTTCCTTGTGCGCTCACTTTGTATTTCTCAATTTTTTAGTCGGTATGCATTCATAATAAATGTAAATAGGTATATTACGTTTCATTTTCGCAAGTTGTTGTCATCTTTAGTTTATCCCCTGCGAAAATTGGCGAAGTTTATTTAGCTCATAGTCTCTTTGCTTAGTCCGTTTCTCTATAGTCAAAGTAAAACAAACACACGTCAAGACTTCACTAAATATTTAACGACAAAAGCAGAGTCGCTGTGACTACAAAATATATTTGTTTTTCCACAGTTTGTTTGTTTGTTTCTTTATGCTCGTATAAATAGCGTAAATAAGAAATAACAAGTTATTAACTTATTTTTTGATATAAAAGACAATTTAAGCTCACGGTTGTAACGTAGAGGGTTAGGCAAAAGTAATAGAATATTGTTATCACGTCCTCCTATATTTGTTTTTGTGTGTATCCCTTTGTGACGACCTAGAGTCTAAACCACTGAACAGATTTTGACGATTGAGTTCTCATTTGATTCATATTCTTATTCGAAATATCACAGGGTCTACAGTCTGTTATTAAACATGTCTTTCGTCAATGAAAACTCAAATAAAAATATAGTTTTATTTTCTTTTGATATTGTACACAAATTCCCTCAGATGTAACCTCTAATAAAATCAAATAAAGTAAATAAAATTCCTCTTACTTTCACATAACAAGACTTTTGTTATGTTTTCTTTATTACCTTTGGGTATAAAACAGTTGTGGCCAACTGTTTGTTATATAAATTGTTTTATAAAACAAATTAACTCTCCTAGAATTTGCTAGTGTTTAGGAAAAAAAACTTGCAAACCGGCTGGTCCGGTTTAGACGGATTTTTTATTAATATCATAAGGTGGCAAAACAGCGAGCGGCCAGCTGAAATCGCTGAAATAGCGAAGTGACCGTTGCTTATAGACATACGCAATTGCATATGCATTGCCTACCTTTAATCGACGGAGGAGAGGATGCACGGAAAGAAGATATTTTCCCTTTCCATGCATCCTCTCATCCGGAAAGTCCACTACCACTTCTCATCCGTTCCTTATAAGAAAAAGGGTGGGAAAGGAAAGAGGACTAAATTAGACCTCAGGGACGCAGACTCATCAGATTATAATAAACATTTGAACGGTGCAACAATGTTTCTAATTGTTAGTAGTTTTTGAGTTTATTTCATAGAAGTTTGTTTGTGTAAAATTTCTCAAACTTCATAAAACTTATCGATTTTAATAATTACACTGGTTACAAAGTTAGTTTTTAAACGTAACCAAGGTTAATAACATGATAAATGATTCTGGGTAACGCTATGTGGTTTATTAAAACTACTAATATTTTTAATATCCCTAGTGTTATGTGATGGGATTGAAATACATATTAGTATATTATGTATTACATATTATTACATGGTTTCCAATTATATATATCTGCATTGTACCGCAGGTTACGGAGTACATAAATGTGCTATCAATTTCAACGTTTGAGCGTCGTTGGTTTAATAGTAAGGGAGGCTATGCGGGGATTTTTGGATTTATTCAAGCATACCAGGGAAACTTACACCCAAACAAGTACAGCACAAATATAACGAATAATACCGTACGTTTAGGGTTGGATCAAGATACTAAATAAAGAAATATTACTATCTGTCGCCCGCGACTCTATCCGCGTGGGATTGAAAATTAGTGTTAGGAAGAAAATCCGAAAATGTGGCAGTGTATTGATGCAACACTAGCCTTACTAAAATGTCGACATTTGTGTTCCCTCACTAGTCATTCTGACAATTGACTTTGTAACGAAGCGCGCCAAATGGTTCTAACTAATAATCTCTAAAACTAGATAGTAGACGTGATTCCCAGATCTACTGAATATACATATAAAATTTCATAATAATCGGTCAAGCCGTTTCGGAGGAATATGGTAACTAATATTATGACAAGAGAATTTTATATCTTACTAATATTATAAATGCGAATGTTTCGATGGATGGATGGATGTTTGTTTGAAGGTATCTGAAATGAAGAAATTTGACATAGATGTAGAACATTGTCTGGAAGAACACGTAGGCTACTAATTAAGTATATTTTAATGCCGGGCGGACGGAGTCGCGGGAGTCAGCTGGTTGATATATTCTACAAAATAATTAAAATATAATTTAAACGTATAACATGATGTACAAAATTACATTCAATTTTAACACCCCCAGCGTTAAGTTAACCGGGAATACTAACTTAATCACCCTTGGGGCGGGTTAAGTAATGGAGGACGTTTAACCGGGTTACAGCTGCAACTTAACCGGATTGCAAGTTACACGTTAAGTTAGCGTGTTGGTGTAATATTAAAGATAAGAATATGTAAGTCATGTTTATGGATTAGATTTAACAAGATTACTAATATTAATCGATTTTCAAGGTTAATACTTGGTAAAGAGCATGAAAGGAATATCTCTTTTTACAAATAAGGTAGTAAAAATATAATATAATAAGCTGACACCCGAGACA